TCGATCCAAGTATCAGAATTTATTAAAGAATTTTCTCTATTAATAGATGATTCGGATTTGATATCATTATCACTCATTATGAAGGATTAATAGGAGAGAGTTCTTAAATTCAAAAGTTGTACATACGTACGTAAATTCCCTACATATATGTGATACATAAATCTGCATGAAGGCGAATACCATTATATAATTTCGGAAAGAGTTTTGAAGATCCTTACTTCACAGATTAGGTATTCAAAAATGTCATGAAACTAAGTTTTAATAAAAAGTTCGACCAAGATTATCAAATATTGGTGGAGTTTTAAAAATTTAACGTTACATAATAAATACAAATTTAACTTTATATTAATATTAGTTTAATAAAATAAAAGCCAATTTTACAAAATATCAGATGTTTAAACTATCCATTGCCATAAATTCTATTCATAAAAAAATCAATCCAATTCAAATAAATTGAAACTATTTAATACGGCACTAATCCATCATAATATTTATGCACGAACCCATATAAAAGTTCAGGTTGATTGTCAAAAGTTCCATGAACAATTGTCTCGTAAGGCTCAGTATACAAATATGAATAATTCGACCATCTGATCCTATAAAAAATTGATAAAATCAGCTCAAACCTTTATGCAAAATCATATTAACGATAAAGCCTCAATAATAGATATAAAAAACAGAATAATATTGCAAATACGAAATTTCTTGTGCATTTTTATCACATCTTGAAAATGTGAAACCGATTTATAATTTTCTTCTCGAAGAATTTCTTTCATATTCATTTTCAAGATTTTGAATTTTTAATTCTTAAAATTTTTTAGTTATTGTCACGGATGATCATAAAATTGGATGATGGTGAAATTTCGACCTAATTTAATATGAAATTTTAGAATTTTTTTAGGGTGTATTATCCTAGATTTTTTTTAGTGTAGGTTAGAATTTAGGATTAGAGTTGCTTAGAAAAGAGTATAAGTAGATTTCAGTAGGGTCTATATTTTCAAAAGGAGACCCCAAATTTCACCATCATCCGATTTCACAATTATCCGCGACAAATATCATCATATATATGTACACCCATTGGCTCGTATTAATTACTGTATCAACAACGTAATTCACTATATACAGTAAAAGAAAGAATTTTACATAAATTATTAAAAAAAGAAAACATGCTTAAATTAAAGCAATTAATATAGCGTAGCAAGATTAATTCATAAAATGTTGTATTATTATAATTTCACAATGTCATATTGATTGTACAATATTGCAATGAGTCGATAGAAGGCCTATACAAAAGTTATAGTACCAAAATTTAGCTTTAATTTAAAAAAAAATTACCAGCTAGCTTAATTTATCCAAAATGTCTGAGCGAATAGTATAGATAAAGTAAAAAAATTTGGGTTTGTAAAAAAAGAAAATTACGACATGAAAATTGAAAAAAAGTTACAGAACACCGATTTTATATTTTTTTTATATAGAAAAAATGTCGCTGATTAATCATGCTGAACAAAAAATTTAATAAGCAAAATTACTAGGGACCATATCTACTTAGTTGACAGGCCATTCCAATAGTACGTGCCAATGTTGATAAAAGGTTTGTCTGTTGATATTTTGTCACATCTATTTTGAATAAATTGTTCAGGTATATTTTTAACAATGAAAAGAAAATATAAATTTAAACCTAATAAATTAATCTATAAATTAATCTAAAAACTACAAATTTATTTTATTATACAATAAAAAAAATGGGTAATATTTTTTTATAGTCCTTTTTTATTCAGTATTTTTTTGTTACTAAAAAGCAGATAAAGTAAAGCGAAAATATAAAAAACCCATAATAAACCAATCAGAAAGATGATTAATGCAAAAGTTTGATTGTTGGTATCAGGATAATCAAGATTCATCTTAATTGAAAGAATTGAAATAATAATGATATAGACAAATAAAAGAATAATTAAATTTGAATTAACCAAATTTATCTATTTCATTTTTTTGTTTAATTTTTTTAGCAACTCTAAGACAGGTAAGTCAGGTGAATCATTTAAAATCTTATCATCAATTGTCACATGTTAAATTTCTTTCTTAGAGGTTCTATTTACAAGCTTTTTTCAGATGGATAATACTTTACAGAATCTTGAAATTTCTTAATATATAGCTACAACATAGTAACTATATAGTTGCTATTAAATTTAATAGCAACTATATAATTACTATATAGTTACTATGTCGTAGCTATGCATTAAGGAATTTAGGTTTCTGCTAAGTATCAACACTATAATTCCACTTAAACCTATAAAGCCTGATACTGTGATGTGTGATGAATCCAACTTTTCTGATTAATCTTTTTTCAGCACCCCACAATAACATTGCTCCAATAATCATAGTAAAATTCGCTCCAAGTAAGTTTATTGCAAGTAATTTATTTCTTTTAACTAAATGCTCCAAAACTTTTGTATATTCTTGAATGTTTCGAGTCGTCATGCTAGAAGTTAAAATTTTTTTAAAAAAAAAATAAACAGAAGAAAAGATTTTAAGGAAGGGTTGAGAATTATGACATACCTGAGAGTAAAAGTCCGTCATTCAAATCTATCAACAAGTTTTCTGGTTTTATATCTCGATGAATAATGTGTTTTTGATGAATATAACTTAAAGCACCAACTGTTTGTGCAATATACTATCTTAGAAAAAGAAATGAACTCATAAATTTCAGAAAACAATTTATGTATTGAAAAAATTAATAAATAAACCCTTGATACTTTTTTTCCTTTAAGTCTACCTGATTTTACAAGTTGTTTACAAGTGACTCTCGATATAAGAAAGGTAATTGGGTTCATAGTAAAATTTTACAAATCTTTCTTATATCAAGAGTTTATTAATAACTTTCTTATATCGAGTGGATTTATTATAGACTGGTTTTAGCTTGAACTTTCTTATGTCGAGAATTAGTCTTTCTTATATCGAAGGTTTCTTATATCAAAGTTACTTGTATAAAGTTCTCCTTTGGCTGCATATTCAAGGATTAGAACAAAATATATATCATCTTGAAAATACTCGAGAAGTCGAAGAATATTTGGATATCTTTCGTATTTAAACATTTATTCAGTCACTAAAAAGGCAATCATATATTTTTATTTAAAATTGCCTTAGATTTATCTGTATCTCTACTTCGCATCTCAATTGTCTTTCAGCATTTACTTTAATTAGTTCCCCAATAGATAGCACCTTCAAGGCTACTATATAGCCACTTATTTTTTCCCTTGCAATGTAAACACGGCCAAACTGTCCCTTACCAATACTATATCCTATATCAAAGCTTTTCAATGACATTTGGGGTACTCTATTAAAGATATAAAATATTAATTTATATTGCTCACGTAATTTAAACTAGATTATGTATTCCATTATTACCTAATGGGTTGACTAATTATAATTTCTTTCTGATATTTTCTTGATTCATTTGTCTTTTCTGTTAGAACGCAAAAGTTAAAAGTTATGCCTAGTGATGATTGACAAAATTAGCCAAACATCTATTTTTCACTATGACCAATCAAAATCAAAACACCACAAATTCGTCTATAATTTGTTATTGCAATGAGTTACGTATTAGAATTTTAGAAAAAAAAGATATTGGTACAGACACTTTTAATATGACCAATAATTAAGAATATTAGTTAACGTAATTTAAGAAACTATCAAGATCATAAGGTATATCAGTTGATATCATCATAGTCAAATTGTAAAATATAAAATTCATCATGATTCACCTTTTTCTCTTTTACTATCATACAGTTAAAAAGATCATAGTCGGAACTATAGAAAATAAAAAGAAATTATTAAAAGTTCGATTAATCTTATGGAATACTAAGGGGGGGAAGTTAGAGAAACTGTTTTCAATGGCCTATGGTGCTCAGCAACCGTTTTCATAAGTGATAACACCATTAATAGACATATCTAATTTCAGAAAAAACTCATTGAAAAATAATTAATGAACTAGCTAACATAAGGGAGAAAGAATCTATGATCATTGAAGATGTAGATAATGTTAAAATATTTATTGTCGCAGAACATAATGATAATAAAATTGGATTAAAATGAAATTTGTAGTTTCTATTCATCTCTAAAACACACTTGTCTATTATAACCTTAAAACATACTAAAGGTCCAATCCGGATAAATCGTCATTCATTTATCCATATCTGAATTTATCCGGATATCAATAGTAAAACGGATATCTGAATAAATTCAGATCTGGATATCCAATAAATAAATGGATAACCGGATAATGAATAGGAACTCTACCCCTAACCCTCTAGTATTTTTTGATAGCTTGCCCAGTTTACACTATTCAAAAAATTTCATTTTAATCTGATCTCTTTTAATCTGTCACATTTATGAATCAAGTAATATTAAAATACTCTAAAATAAGACTTAGGATTTGGATAGCGATGGATTATCACAAGCGATAAATTTGATGCTTAAACAAATGAAAATGATACATTAAATTTGGAAGAAAACTAATATACTAAGATAATCATATGAATAATTATTTTAAAATTTCAAAGAAAAAGGGGAATAATAAAGTAAGAAATTTCAAAAGTTGTTAAGAAATATAGTAGTTATTTTAAGAACTAATTTTTTATTAGTATTTTTTTTTATTAAGCTGATGATTAACAAAGAATGCTTCGAAATATCCACGTGTTAGTGAGAATCAGGTCACAAAGATATTCATTAATATCAATTATAAGCATAATTAATTATTAACAAATCACCGAAACAACAGCAAAAAGAGAATAAATAATAACTTTAAAAATAACGAGGAAACCAATAAACAATTTCCTGATTCACAAGCTAGTAGCACCAATGATCAATTTTGTGATAATGAACGTATTAATGAAGTAAGAAAGAAAAACATAAGGAATTTGAATATTTTCTGTAATTAAGTTAACCAACCTAAAAGTCTAAAATATCATTTACAAATCACAAATTTTAGTAAGATGAAAATAATGGAATCTATGTCCAATAACCAGCTGCCAATCAATGTTATCTCAGGAATGCTTGAACAAACGACCCTAGCAAACAATAGTACACAAGCCAATAACATTGAATCTACGATCATGTAGAAATTTTTAACTAATCAATTAATAAATTCAAAAGCAAATTATTAGTATACATTATTGTCAACAAAAATTTTCATACAGGACATTTAAACCCCACTCACAAGAATTCCTCCTGGAAATTGGTACTGTAAGAAATGTAAAAGCGAGAATTCAAAGAAATCAAACGTACAATGCTACTTGAATATTCAAGTTCAGATGATATTGATAATCAAAGCGAAAAAAATCAAAAAAAAATATAAGGCACAACAAGATACTTCAGATTCCGACGATGAAGACAGTCAAAGTATAAAAGAAAAGACAACAAATAAAAAAGATACTTTATCAGATCCTTTAGGTATTATTGTTATATCAGGTTTTGGCTAATATATATTATTTATTTTGTTATTTTTAAAAGTGAATAGATGAAACAGAGAATGTGCCAGTAATCCAATTGGATGCGAATAACCAGGTAAATATTCATAATCAAATTTTGACAGATTTAAAAATAAATTTCAAGGTTGTAATTAAACTTATCAAATTACAAAGGAATCATTCACACAACTCAATAGTTCTCAAGTTCAATTTCTTGAAGTTCAACCTCTCTTCACTCAATAAATCAAGTTGAAGGTTCAATTGATGAAATTGATGAAGATAATTACTTCAGATGAAGATAGTTAATCTTTACAAGTATGACAAATTTTAATATATTATGTCTGCTTATCGTGATAGTATACTAATAGCTTAGTTTAGGCATGTAAGTATTATACTTTTATATATATTTTAACAGAAATTATTGATATTTCAACTAAATCAAGACAAGTATTAAATACACAAGGGTTAAAAGGATATATATACCTTGATAGCAGTATTACATTTCTTGAAAATGGAGATCTGGCAATTGTCAAAAAGTACCCTGTTTACCGGGCTTATATCTTTTCAAAGTCGAAATCTAATGAAAAACAACAATGGACATCCAAGGATCATTAATCTTAAAAAAAATTTTGAAAAATATTTTTCAAAATATTTTTCAAAATATTTTATTTTTGAAACTGGAAAATTATTATTGCCTTTAGAAACACCCTCAGTAATCATGCAATAGAACTTAAAGACTTGAGAACTTGAGACGGAATATATATTAAATTGGAATATATTACATGGGAGTTTAAATATAAAAATGAATAGTGATAATACATTTTTAGCAGTAGCTGGTTATACTAAAGATTATGAAACATTAATCAATGTTTATTCAACAGAATCAGGAGCAGTGATAGCAAATAGTGAGTATTTTATAAAGTTACTATAAATATATACTGTATAAATTGTTATATTATCAATTTTATTTTACAAATTTTATTTAACGTTTAAGGTTTATTTAAAGAGAATTTACACAATTTTTGTTTTATTGGATCAAGAGAAAAAGAACAACTGTTTTTTTCTGGCCTGCAAGAAACTACAAAGAGTTATAACTCTTATATACTAAATCCTTACACACTTAAGTCTCCAGAAAATTTTCCTTTACAAGGTATTTATTCTCCAACATATGAAAATTATGAATATTTTCATATTATTTCTGATTTTATTACAAAACTTGAAAATAATAAACTATTGATTCAAAGATTATCACATAACGAAAATTGGCAAAATTATTTACAAAGCAAAGAATGCAAAGAGTATAATGTAATTAGTACTTATTTCAATGTAAAAGAAATTAAACAATTTGTCCAGGATACTTTAAAAAAGTTTAATTTAAATCAGGATTTAACTCAAAGTTATTCAAATGAGCCTAAAGAATTACGATATAATGGATATAATGAGTCATTCACCTGGATTATAATTATTGATGCAGAAGTTTCTCCACTTCTAAAAACTTATAAAATAAAATTAAAAGTAAATATTGGTAAGGAGTCAACTAGTGAAGTGTGGTATTGGATACGTATTGATGACAACAATAGGTATATTTTAGAAAGTAAAGTGCTCAAAAATGGAGATATTATTTTGGTTAGTTTTTTTTGGAATATTAATTTATACAGCAAATTTAAAAAAAAAAAACACTTAGTTTAATTTATTTTTTGAATGATGAGCTTGAGAGAAGGTATTGGCATGATAAAAAATTAACAGAAACTGATCAACAATTAGTGAAGAGGCTTCTTACTTCCTTTAATTCTCTCATTGAAAATATTGATAAGTCAAATTTTAAATTCTTATCCCCACCACTTTTTGATAAAGGAGTTATTGATTTTAAGAACAATGAATTGGCAATAAAATTATATGGAAAAGATATATTAAATCAATTTGTAAAACATAAAGTTGAAGGAAGAATTCGAATATCGCTTGATAAATTATTCAAATATAGCTTGTCAACATTTAAGAGTGGTGATGTTTATAACTTTAAGATGTTTATAAGTCAAGCTACTTCTGCGCTAGTAAAATTAGAAAAATATAACAAAAATTTAAAAGTTACTGAAAAGTTTTTATCTAAAATTAATTTACTAGTTTCAGATAATGATCGAAATGCTATAAATAATTATTCTAAATTATCTCATCTTCAACATTATAGACCTTTTGATTATTCAACATTATCTACTACTTCTTCATTAGATCACTTTATTTTTTGGATAGAAGAAAATTGACCTAAAATTTATAAAATTTTAGCATCTCCTTATTTACTTTACTCTTCTTATTTTACAAATTATCCTCAAAAAACCGTAGTATTAATGTTTCCTTTATTGAATTTTGCTACATACCCTACAAAAAATTCTTATATTGAATTATTCTATTTACAGGATAATGCATTTACTTTACTTGATGCAACTGATTATTATAAATGGTGGAATATTAAAGCTCTTATTAATTTCAAATGGAACACCTATAGAAGACGATATTATCTTATAATTTGGGCAATATATACAATTTTTATGACCTGTTTTTTAACTGTTTCAACAATTTCTGAAATTTCTTGGAGTAATCAATTGATTCTTTTGGATACAACTATTCTTTTTGGTTTTATTTATTTAATTTTTGAGGCTCGTCAATGCATTCATAAACCAATACATTATATTGCTAGTCCTTGGAATTGGTTTGGTATACATTTAACTTTTGATTTTGTTTTTATATAGTGTATAACATATATATTTATTATATATAATTATTAAAATTTAATTGTATTATTGATCTTGCTGCAATACTTTTTCCAACAATAACTTCATTTATATGGATATATGATAAAACACCACCAACTTGGATTATTACTATTACTGTTTTTTTATTTGAAATTAAATTTTTATTGTTTTTCCGTGCTTTAGATTTTTTTAGAAAATATTTTGCTATTATGATTGGTGTAGCACAGCAAATATTTTCATTTCTTGTTGTTCTAGGCATTATGGTCTTGGCTTTTGCTCATTCTTTGCGTCTTTTATTAAGACCTACTAGTGATTATTCTTATAATCAACCAAGTAATACGGATGATATTAATAATCCCTGGAATCTTGTTTCAACTTATAAATTTATTTCTTCTAACGGTACTGTTGGTAATTCTTCACTAATTGAAACTCCTGATGATAATACAAATCTATTTGCTTGGTTTAGTACTTCTATTTTAGCTGTATATTTTATGCTAACAGGTATTATATTATAACAATAATTTGACAAAATTCTGGTATATATTAATAAAATAACCTTATTTTATTTTTATTTTTTTTAGGTGATACAAGTGCTGTTTCTTCATGGGTTTACAAAAATAACTGGACTTTGGCGATTTTATTAGCTATATTTTCATTTTTTACTACTATTTATTTATTGAATCTGTTTATTTCATTACTTGGAAATGCTATTAATGAAACATATAATGAAGAATCTTTTTTACAACTAAGAGGAGATGTAATTTTTTTCTAAATTATAATTATAAGGCTATACAAACTTAATGATTCGGTTTTCATAACCCGGCCAGGTCAAACCTTACAATTTTTTTAAAAAAATTTTATGTATATTTACTATCCGGGTGAGTTTTTTTAAAAAAATCTTTAAAAAATTTTATATGTTTTTTATATATAAAATTTTTTGAAAATAAAATTAAAAGCCGGGTTGCCGGGTCATTTTTGAAATTTTATGTTATAGAAACCGAATTATTAAGTTTGTATGGCCTAATTTGAAAATGGTAAAATAATAACATTATAAATAATATTATTACTAGATATTAGCTGAAATTGAGCTTTTTTTAATGTTACCCCACCAACGAAGAAAGAAAAACTGGTTTCCAGAAATTTTGTAATTATTTTATTTATTTATGTTACAAGCATTAAATATATTCTAAAATTTAATTTTATTTATTTATGTTACAAATATTAAATATATTCTAATATGTAATTTTTAAATATTTAGATGTTATGAAGTTTCATTTAATGAGCTTAAAAAATATGTAAAAAGTATTGAGGATGATGAAATTTTACAAGATTTACTTCCTGCAATTAAAAAAATTACTGGAGTTGGAGAAGTTAGGGCCTTAAAAAAAGACTCTGAATTTTATAAAATCAAGAAAGTCATTGAATCTATTGAAGTTAATGACTTAAATGAAGACATTGCATTTAATGCAATTAAAAAAATTATTGAAGATAAAGACCTAAATAAAGACAATGTTAAAGACCCAAATAAAGGCAATGCTAAAGACCCAAATGAAGGCAATGATAAAGACCCAAATGAGGACAATGCTAAAGACTGGAGCTATGACAACATGGCACCGGTTGAAGTTAGCCAATCATAATTTTGAGATATAAATAATATATAATAATAAATTTGATATTAATTAAAATATAAATCAATATAATAATAATTATTTTTGATTTTGCATGATTTTGTATGTTTTTTTTGTTTGTTTAAAACCAGTTTTAAAATTTATGTGCTGAGTAATAAGTCTTTCAATTTGTTTATTAATAAGAATGAGTAACTTTAAAATTACCTTTTATAATATATACTGCGGCATGAAAAAATTCCTAATATAATATTTTTTAACATTCTTCAAAAAAAAAATTAATTTTTAATTTATCATATCGAATAAGATTATCAATAAATGATAACTCCATGTTATTATCACAACTGCTAAACTGAGTGTGAAGCCACAGTTTCTAGTAAATATTATAACTATTATGAAAATATTAAGAATGTCACAAATATAGCTTTCTTCTTACAATGGATTTGTTTTACTTATAACTTTTTATATTTATCCTGATGCGGGGTTAATAATCATTGTTTCAAAAAAGGTTTTGCATTACATTTGTATTTAATTCCTATTAGAATCTTGTAACATGCAATGATTTTCACATGCTATTTTTTTATATAACTTAGGTAGCGCACCAACAAAAATTGGTTCCTCCGTAATTTTTACTGATAATAAAACATTGTAGTTTGAGTTAGGTTAGGGTTACGGTTTGGACGATAGAGTTTTTCTTAGTAAAATTTCACGAGGAGCATTTTTAATTAGGCCACAAATTTTGTTTCTTACCTAAAATTTTGAGTTACTTCTGTTTTTTTTTTTTGTAAAAAAATTGTTTCACTTTGATCGCTTAGCTTACACCTGATCTTAAATTTTAATTTGTAAAAAATCATAGGAGAGAACAACTTTTGTGGGTGCGCTAGGGAGTTTGTAGCAACAAATACCTCGATTGAAGAGCCTTATTCATTTTGTTAGGAGATATTATAGAGTAGAGTTAGTTCATGTGTCACCACTATTCGGAACTATAGTCATACTCACCATTACAAATCTATATACATGTATCAGTACGTAAATTTTCCGACTGATGAAAAGTCAAGTCAGAAATTTTTTTAAATGCTTTGTACTTGGATGTGCAAGCTAAAATAATAATGACAGTTATTATGAATTTCGACAATCTATAACAATTGACAGATAAAAAAATTACGAATTATGATATTTCGGAGTATATGTAGAAAATATTACAGTAAAAACATTTTGATATACCATCTACCATAAACTATCCATAATTTAGGCACCCATGTATTGCATGATGATATTAAATAATGAAGACGGTCTTAATCATAGGCCCAAAACTCTGAGTAAATTATTCAACAAATCTAGGCATTATAGAAGCCTAGTGGTGTGTTCTAGACACCACCAATCTGCAACAACTAAACAACAGACAGTCTTAATGCTTACCCAAAAATTTTAGGCAGAGTAAGTTATTTGGTCAAGTAATAAATATTTAAGCATGTCTAATTATACATTAATAAAATTTACAGTATAGCTTAGTGGTCGTACCCGGTTGACCTTTTACCCGAATGGTTATTCTTATTATATCCTATTGAGGTAAGAGGTTGACGGTTATATTCTAGGCTATATTCGGGTAAGATCAATGCATGAATATCAGCCAATCAAAATTACAGAATTAATTAAAGAAATATTCCATATCGATATACTAGTGTCTTCTACTATACTTCTGACAATGAATTCTGTCATGTTCTAATAATTTATTAACATTTTGCATGATTTATATAACCAACTGAAATTCATTATATCATGATAACTAAAAATTTTATTGTCATTATGCTTTGGACTTTATTACATGATAAACTTGGTTTAACATATATCATAGTCAATAATTTATAAATGCAGTATAAACATTTAACAAAATTTATAAACAAAGCAATTCTAAAACACATTAGGACGTAAACGATATACGTACCAATTAAAATTAATAATCTATGTAATGTCAGATTTTTATTAGGATTAAATTGGACGCGATGTAAGGATAGGTATCAATGATGTGGATATTAAACAACATATAAATTATGATAATTATATTTTACCTATTAGGAGGGTTTCATAATTACTTTTTTTCAAAATATGTGGGAGCTTAAAAGAACCTATTTTCTTTTTTAGAATTCCGAATCAAAAATTAAATAGGCATAGCTAGTGATAAAATAGCTTTTTTTAATAAACATTCATCGGTAAACGATTATGTAAATAAGTACATACTTTAAAAAAAAGAATTTGTACGTCGCTTGTTTTGAAATAAATACGCCACCTATTTTACCTGAAATTTGAAATCCCTATTAGGGTTTCAAAGTTAAAATCAGAGAATCTTATTTTATTTTTCCGATTTATAATTCAACATAGTAAAAATGCTATTGAAAAAATCTTATTTATTTTCGAAATGCGGCACTTATTTGTTAACTTTGAAACCCCTCATTATCTCAAGTTATCTTTTAGGTTAACAGGATATCTTAATTATTTATCCATTAATCAATTTTATCATCCGATTATCCGGGTAACCTGACGGTTAACCGGTTACAATACCCTAGGGTACGACCACTAGTATAGCTCTTTAAGGTTTGTTAAAGATGCCTGACGAATGACGAAACCTTCGCCATTGACGATTGACGAAACCATTTCGTCAGGTGACCTCTAATTGACGAATTGACGATTGACGAAACCTATGGCAATTGACGAAACCTATGACGATTGACGAAACTTACGACGATTGACGAAACCTATGACGAAATCTGTGTTGTAAATATTTGTACAATAGCGTCAATTACCGTATTTGGAATGCATATGCGCTCTAAGTATTTAAAACCCACATAAAATAAAACATATAAAATTTTTGAAAGTGTTTTGATGATGATAAAAAAAAGTGTTTCAAACCCTGCATAACGATAATGCACAATTGGTACAATAGTGGAAAATCATAATAGGGACGTACGTATGTACGTTGTGAAAGTCTTTTCTGTCTCTAATACCAACAAATAGTGTAATCTCTAACTCAACACTAAAATAATATCTCACAAGACCTAAAGTCC